TCCTTTTTGGTGGGAAAGCAGAAAAAATACCGCCCGGTTTAGCCCAGGTCACTTTTAAAAAATAGGAAATGCRCTGGAATTGTTGGGTATCAGCACTTTCCATGATGGATGACGCAGGGACCAAGAAGTTTTCTGGCTTGGTAAATCACAAAACCCTTCCAGAGCGAGCATTTCCCATCCAAACCCTGCACTTGGCAGGGCTCCAATAAACACAGGAGGGTTTTAAAGCTCTTGGGGGTTTCTTCTGTGAGGGTTAATTAGCAAACAGAGTCGGGAGCCAAAAACCTGGAAGGTTTGCAGATTCATAAAAAGAAACAAAAGCAAATGATGTGGCAAAGGAAACACTGACTCGGGCCATTAACAAATTCCCTTTGCCTCACTGCTCCCAGCAAGCACCAAAAATTCCAGGGGAAATGACYGGAGCCAGGCAGAGGAAGCTGCTGAACACAAGAAATATCTCACATATTACATTTGATATTTATATTTTCGGAGGAGAACCACCTAACCCTGTCACCTCTGATTTCATGACATGACTATTGTGTGACTCACACACAAGAGAGCTTTGTCCCTTCGGGGCATTCTCGGGTTTTTAATGATCTCTGAATTCTTACTCGTCCACCCCAACCCCGAGAATTGTGCTTGGTTTTGCACGTGGCTTTTCTTGAAAGGAATGTTGAGGTAAATAGTGAAAAAAAAGGCGGAAAAAAAGAGAAAAAGAGAAGAAAAAAGAAGAAAAATAAGAAAAGCAGAAGAAGGAAAAGAGAAGGAAAAGAGAAGGAAAAGAGAAGGAAAAGAGAAGGAAAAGAGAAGAAAGAGAAGAAAAAGAGAAGAAAGAGAAGAAAAAGAGAAGAAAGAGAAGAAAGAAAAGAAAATGAAAATGAAAAGAAGAAGACAAGAAAAAGAGAAGGAAAAGAGAAGAAAAAGGGAAGGAAAAGAAGGGGGTTTTGAGCAGCTTAGAGAAGTGGGACAGGACACTGAAAGGACAGATAACACAGAGCCACATAATGAAGGCTTTAACCACTTTGGATATGAATTCTTGATTTTGGATATGYTGTTACTATGAAAATATTGATAAGTCCAGAAAAGAGCCATGATTCCAGTGCCTAAATGCTCGAAAAGAATTTACGATTATAGCAAAACCCCCTAAATACACATATTTTTACTCAATTTAATTTTCCACAACTTTCTAAAATGTTTAAACATAGAAATCAGCCATCCAAGGAAAAACAAAGATAAATCAGTAAGCATCCAAACTAGGAATTACTGAAGGGAAATGTAGAAACCAGCTATCTAAGGGAAAACAAAGATAAATCAGTAAGCATCCAAACTAGGAATTACTGAAGGGAAACATAGAAATCAGCTAAGAACAAACAAAGATAAATGAATAAGCATCCAAATTAGGAATTACTGAAGGGAAACCCAGGGAAAGCACCTTGCCATCAAAATCCATAAAACTGTGAGATCCAATGAATGATCATCACTTGGAAAAAAACAACACGAGTAAAACTTTTCCTTTAACTCACAAGCCTTTTCTCCATCTCTAAATTTGTTTAAYTCGATTGAATGGTTTACCTTGGACGAGGTAATCGGTGGCCTCAGCCTCCACCTCGTGGCTGAGCTGCTTGGTTTTCTGCAGGTATTTCAGGACAAAAACGTTGGGGGCAAAGTGGATCATGTTCTGCTCCCCRCAGCCGAAGGGCAGCCTCAGCAGCTTGTCCAGGTTGTTCAGAGTGGGACCCATCACATCTCCTGTCAGAGGGAGAGGGGATGCATTCAGGATTGGGCAATTTTAGGGTAAAAAGGTTTATTTTTGGTGATTTATGGATAAACCCCACTTGACTGCGCTGGCATCTCCTGGSTAGCACAGAGTTATCTTAAATAATCTGTGAAGTTTGTAAATAATCTGTGAAATAAGCAGGAAGTCCCTCAGCTGGTAAATCTTAGCCCTTCCATCTCTTGTTGGATTAAAGAAATTCCACATTTCAGCCTTTAATTATCCATGACTTCCCAGTTCAAACCATTTTTCAATGCAGCAAATTTGTGATTAGGATGATTACAAAATAAACACCCCTCAAAACCCCTCTGACAGCATCGACTTTAAACCACTCTCAACCCAAACAAGCATCAAAAAAAAAAACCCCAAAACAGTTCCCTGCCCCAGAATTAACAGTGAGAAACCTTTTAAAGTGCCTGTGACTRTGTGAATTACTCAAGCACTGGTCAGAAGTAACAGCTGGAGCATCTCTTCCCATGTGATAAGGGGTACCTCGGCGATACCCCCCGATAGTTGGTACCTATTATTGAAGCCGTAGCTCTTTCTGATCCTGGAATTATGTTGTGGGGAACTCCAAGAGTAAATGCTTCATTGTGATTCTCATCAGTCTCTTCTTTTCTCCAAATTTTAAACTCTCCCATTGACCCCCAGCCTGTGGAAAAGCCAATGTACTTCACCTCGAGCCGTTTGGGGACTGTCCACTCCACAATTATTGATTCGTTTAGCGCCCGAGTACCGTGGCCAACCTGGAAGGGATGAGAGACCATGGAGCTGCCAGGCACATGGAGAGGCTCTGCCACGTGTCCTGGGACACCTTCTAACCCAGATGGGCACTGGAGATGGAGCAACATTTCTCTCTTTCCCACCCACAAAAAAAAAAAAAAAAAATCTGAAGAAGTTCAATAAGAATTGTGCAGGTTTGACTTTCAAGGCTTTCATCACTGAGGTCCTGAGAGCAAAAAAAACGGATTTGTTCTAATCCAAAGAGCCTGGTCAGGAGTTCAGAGGGAAAAAGGCAACAGGAATGAAGCTGCCACCTTCTACAGCATGGAAAACCCGCTCTGGSTGCGCTCAAACTCCGTTGGAAAAGAGACTTCCAGACCATCCCCCAGCTGAGCTCAGTACCTGGATAACACCATTTCTCCAGCTGATCCAGAAGCTGCGGAATTCATCCCAGGAGAGGATAGCAGGRGTGTCCCTGCTGGCCACTGGCTCTCCCATTTTGCTGCTGGAAATCCAGGTTTTGGTGTTTTGGTGTCCCCCGATGACGATCTCGGTCATCTCGGCCATGTCGTGGGGACCCGAGGACAGGGCCAGGTGAGCATCRTTGTGCGCCTTCACTGCGATGTCAAAGTGGCTCATCTGGGCAGGTTTCTGCAGGTACTGGTACTCGTATTTGTTAGGGGTGGAAATGTGGATTTTCTCTAGTCAGAAAAAGAATGGAATGGTGTCAAAATCAGAGCTCATCTCACAGACATCAAAAATTACCCGTGGCTGGTAACTCGAATTCAAAAAAAGAGACCTTTCCTAAGTACATGGGGCTTTTCCCAGCTTCTTTTAAAGTATTAAAACACACATTTCAATATAAAAAACACACATGGATGTTTCTTCTCATCTTTTATTTTTACCCCCTTCAAAGCAAAGGATTCTTCAAACTGCTCAGCTGAATTCCTTCTGAACTCAAAAGTGATTTTTCAGCTCTGATCTAGCGGTCAAAAGCGTCTCTGTTCAGCTCCAGGAGCCAGCTCTGAGCTCTCCAAATCTCTGGCAGAAAGGCCAGGCTGATTCCAGAGCTGAATTTTAAAACTCCAGCTGAAAACACTGCACAGTCCCAGTTACTGTCCACAGTGCTGAATACTGAAACTGTTCCATAAATCGACGGAATTTAATGGCCATTTCCAGAAATTGCTTGGGCAGTCAGAGCAAATTCTTAATTAGCCAGCCAGGTAAGAAAGRCTCTTTATTCACAAGTTCTTCCTCCACACCAGAACTCATCAATCACAGAGAAATGGAAACAAAGATTTTTTAATTTTTTAAAATATTTTTTTAATTTTCTTTTTAATTTTTTAAAAAATATTTATTTATTTTTTTTAAATGAGAAGAAGCCAAATGTCTCTCTTGAAAACTGAATCAAACAAACTGAATATCTTATTCAAACCATGAACTTACCATTTGGGCAGAAGAACACACTGTAGGTGTATTCTCTGGACAGTCCCTCTGGCTGTAGAAAGACAGAAATGAACACATAAAATCCACTCAGGGCTTGGATTAACAAGAAAATATTTCAGTTTCACTTGGAAAATGCAGATATTTTGCTGCTGTACAGGGGTTTATGTCCTTTCTAGAGAAGTGATGGCACTGGAGCAGGAGATGTGCTAAACCCTGCTAGAGAACCTTCTATTTTATCATACTCCTTACATTAACAGGGCAAGCTTAGCACATAAAATTCCCTTTTCTTTCTCTCCTAAACATCATTGAAGAGCAGCTCAGAACCTTTCTGCACAAGTCCCACTAAAGCCGATTATTTCCAGCCTCTCTGACACACCACAAACCAACTTTATAAACTCATTCACACTTGATATCATATTTTTTTTCCTGATTTATCATAAATTGKTATTTCCTCACCTCAATAATGACACTGCTGCGAACATAATCCACTCCCACTGGGGTCCTCTTGTCCAGGTAAGGATCCTCAGAGTGTTTGCCATTCTTTGGGGGCTGCATCCCCTCCTGGCAGCAATTGGTCCCACCGTAGGCAAAAGCTTTTGCTGAGAAGGGAAAAGCAGCAGAGATTCTGAGATCTGAATTAATTAGACAAAGCTAATTAGCAATACTTGGATGTTCTGTAATTACAGCTCTCTCACACTCCCTTTATTCCACATTTGAATGGTCACATCTAAAAYCAGGCGATATTTGGGCAGTCCTGGGGCAGGAGACAAACTCTTCCCTGGTTTTCATTTCACAATTTTTATTTGGATTATTTGCTGAAAGACCTCTAGAATTTGTTGGTTTTCTCTTGTTTAAAAAATTCTCACTGATTTCCTCAGGGCAGGGGATCTCCTGATATTTTTTTACATTTTGTGCTTTACAGGCAGGGAATTAATTTCTACAATAAATGAAGTTGAGAAGCCAAGCTGGCAGCAAGAGGAATGAATGAATTTGAGTAAGAGRGAAAAAATAATTTTCTCCTGAAAGAGAAAACAAAAGAAACATTTGTAAAACCCCTTCAAGCACCAAAATAATCTGTTTTCAGCTGAATCCTACCAGTGATGTTGCTGAGGCCCAGCTCGTTGAAGGCCAGGACGATGGAGGTGGGTTTGGCCTCCCCAGGGGCCACGCACTTCTTCCTYGTCAGGTGGTGCTTCCCRGGRTGCCCAACGAATTTAATGCCCTTTGGGACAGAAATCTTCACRTGGACCTGTGAAAGTTTTGGAAATRTCATTCATTGGGAACATCGGCAAAGCCAGACTTGGGAAAATACAGAAAAAATATTTTGCTGCTGTACAGGGGTTTAAGTCTTTTCTAGAAAAGTGATGGCAAAGTGTGTTAGCTGGAGATGAGCTAAACCCTTCCATTTTATCATATTTCTTATATTAACAGGCAAGCTTATCCCATAAAATTCCCATTCCTTTTTCTCCTGAACAGCACTGAAGAGTCTCCAGAGGAGGTCGGTGTGAGCAGCTGCGATCACAGAATGCAGATTATTCATTATTCAGACTTCCAGACTGAGAGCAGCACTTTCAGCTCAGCAGCTCTGCAGGTATTTCCAGGAGATGCTGCTAGAGCTGGGTGGGCAGAGAGCATGAGATCAAGGGAAAGAGGATTTCTTGGGGAAAGAAWAATCCTCCAAAATAAACTAATTTTGGCAGCTTTTTAATAATGAAGGAAATTCTTCTCTGTGGTTCAGCATGAGCTCCCCTGATTGTCTTCCTCTGTAACATTTTTCAACTTTTTTTTTCTTTATTTCTTTATTTTTTTGTTTTTCTGAAGTGCTGCAGGACTTTATGCTGAGCCAAAAGGAAATAAAGCCATGACATTGATGAGAACAGAAAAAAGAATATTTTTCCTCCTCTGCAGAGCTGCCTGATCCCAGAGTTGCACTCCCACTGCTTTGTACAAGCAAGTTGCTCACACCTGAGGCACCACTGAAGCTTCTCTAAATCAATTTAAAATCRATTTATTTACAATTTTCAGTGAGCCTGGAGTGCTGGACCTGTCAGGAGCCATCAGGAATGGGGCTGCATGTTTGGGTTACAGTGGGGAGAGGACAAAACCAATAAAACCAATAGAAAACAATAATAAATTTTAAAACAATAAAAACAAATTAAACAAAAAAAACAAACAAACCACAATTAAAAACCAATAAAAACAATAAAAAAATTTAAAAAACAATAAAATCCCCCAACAAATAATACATTTAAAAAATAACAAAACCCAATAAAAATAATAAAAAATAAAGTAATATGAAACAATAAAAAAATAAAACCCAATAAAATAATAAAAATAAATAAAACCAATAAAACCAATAAAAACCAATAAAATAATAAAACTAATAAAACCCAATAAAATAATTTAGAAAAACAAAACCAATAAAACCAATAAAACCAATAAAAACCAATAAAATAATAAAACTAATAAAACCCAATAAAATAATAAAAATAAATAAAACCAATAAAACAATAAAAACACAAAACCTATAAAAAAACAATTAAAACAATAAAAAAATAGAAACCAATAGAAACCAATAAAAACCAATTAAAACGAGAGATCACTGCACCTTTTTTTTGAAGGACTTAGTTTCTAAGTTCAATCAGGCTCCAACACGTCCATGCTGAGCTCATCCCCAGCTGCCACCTCCCCTCCTGCAGACCCTCCCCAGCCGTGCTGGTGACCCAGAACCCACCCAGGAGAGGGGAATTGGGCTCAGGAGCGTTACCTCRGCACACAGGGCCAGGTAGTTGTAGACTGTGAGGGGGATCTTGGTCTGCTCGCCGCGGATGACGTGGTAGGGCAGCGTGAAGTCGATGAAGAAGGGTTTGAAGGTTTTCAGCTCGGCCTGGCTGGCAATGCCCAGGCCCTGCTCCTCGGACAGAGCCACGGCCTCGGTCAGCCACGTGGTGATGGAGTCGGGCACCTCCACCTGCAGCTGGGCTTCCCCYGAGGTGGCACTGCCAAAAAAACCACAGAATTACTTGGGGTGATCCCATTGGGGTCATCACAGTGGGTTGGTCCCATTGGGTTGGTTCCATCAGGGTGATCCCCTTGGGGTGACCCCACTGGATGGATCCTATTAGGGTGGTCACATTAGGTTAACCCATTGATTCATCACACTGGGGTGATCACACCGGTCACATTAGGGTGACCCCATTGGGTGGATCCTATTGGGGTCATCATAGTGGAGTCATCACAGTGGGTTGGTCCCATTGGGTTGGTTCCATCAGGGTGATCCCACTGGGGTCATCACATTGGGTTGGTCCCATTGGGTGGATCCTATTGGGGTCATCACAGTGGAGTCATCACAGTGGAGTCATCACAGTGGGTTGGTCCCATTGGGTTGATCCCACTGGGGTCATCACATTGGGTTGGTCCCATTGGGGTGACCCCATTGGGTGGATCCCATTGGGTTGGTTCCATTGAGGTGGTTACATTGGATTGATCCCATTGGGTTGGTTCCACTGGATTGATCCCATTGGGTTGAACCGACTGGGGTGACCCCATTAGGTTGGTCACATTGGGGTAACTCCATTGGGTTGAGCCCATCGGGGTGATCCCACTGGGGTCATCACACCAGGGTTATGATACTGGGTTGATCCCATCAGGGTCATCACACTGGGGCGAGCCCACTGGGTGACCCCATTGGGTTGATATCATTTGATTGATCCCATTAGGTTGACCATATTCAGTTGACCACATTAATTACATGCTTTTTAATGATGTTAAAACCAGCCAAACATTTTGGGGAATTCCCTGCAGATCCAGATTTAT